GAGCCAACCTCTAAGACTTGCCTCAGGGAATAACATCTACATAATTGAGTACAATACTCTGTATATAATAAAATAAGTGTTGAATTATGTAAATTAAATTTTTTTATGTAAGAGATGTCTGAAACTCACTGTGGCACGTTTGCTGTGCAGCAGAGAACCTTTGGTATTCCCATTACAGTACAGGTGGAATTGCTACACGTAAGTAAATAAAAACAAATTGAGTTTGAATTCTATTTTCTATTCACTTACCTATTCAGTAATATATAACCACGAATCTAATACAAAAAAAAGTAGAAATAGCAAAATAAAGGGCCAAGATTCCCGGTCGACATGTTGCATCCCAGAGTGTTGAAAGATTTGTGCAACGAGCTTGCTGAGCCCCCTGAAGATCCTGTTCTGTAAATTTCTGGATCGGCAAAAAGTCCCCAGTAATTTGAAAATGAATAATTATAGACCAGTGAGCCTGACATAGTGTGTAAAGTACTAGAGAACATTATAAGAGATGCCATTATGGAACATCTACTACAAAACAACCTTGTAAAGGACTGTTAACATGATTTTATGCCGGGACACACCTGCTTAACACAATTACCCAAGGTACTGGATGTTTGGATTCAAATTCTGGAACAGGGCAGTAATATCAACAACATACTGTATATCTAGATTTTGCCAAGGCTTTCGAGAGCATACCCCATGAATGGATGAGAATTAAACTGGAAGGGTACAAGCTTCGGGGAAGAGTCTTGCATGGATCGGAAACTTTCTTCATGATCGCAAGCAGTGTGTGGTGATTAATGATATACTTTTACTTTTTTTTATTTTTATCCTCTTCGCCACTGATCGGCTTGTTAGCCGCTTGGGCGATCAGTCAAGTCTCTTTTCATTTATATTCTTCACCAAAAGATCGGCTCGCTAGCTGCCCGGGCGATCGGTCACGTCTCTGTCACGCACTGTTGGCAAATACTGGGCATGCACCGGCTCCTGAATGTACCTGAACCCGCTCCAGTGTTGGTCAAGTCTTGTCTTGAAAGAGCTCACACTCGGTGCAGTCACAACACTCTCTGGTAGATTGTTCCAAGAGTTTACAACCCTCACTCCGAAAAAGTTTGCCCTCACGGTTTTCTGGACTTGCGGCTTCTTCAATCTTGAGCTGTGACCCCTTGTGGGGCGAGCATCCGCCAGCTCCAAGTAAGGACACTCAACTGAGTAGTGCCCCCTGAGATGCTTATACACCTCAACTATAGCCCCCCCTTGCCCGTCTGTAGTACAAGCTAGGCAAGTTCAGGCGCTCCAATCTCTCAGGGTAGCTGAGGTGCCAAAGTGCAGGCACCAGTCTGGTGGCCCTCCTTTGAACATTTTCAACCAACTGACAGTCCCTAGCATATCTCAGGGACCAGATGGGGTGACAGTACTCCAGATGAGGAAGCACTTCACTCCTGAAGATCGTTAGGAGGGACAAACAGTCTAGATATCTGAACGACCTTCTTATAAGACCCAAAAATTTATTTGCCTGATTTACCTTCTTCTCATAATGGCCCGAGAACTTCAGCTCATTGTCAACATACACACCTAGGTCCTTCTCACACACAGTCTCAAGTAGTGCAGTTTCTTCATCCCGTTGGGACATATGATACGCCTCCTTACCGTTGGTATGCCCCAGGGGCATCCTCTTACACTTCGTGACATTGAATCTCAGCAGCTATTTCTTCGATCATTCCTGGAGCCCACAGAGGTCCTTCTGCAGCTCTTCACAGTCCGCTTGGTTCTTAATTTCCCGAAATAACTTGGCGTCATCGGCAAACGTTTGTATGGAGGAGTGTACAACGTCAGGCATGTCATTTATGAAACATACAAACAACAGCGGGCCCAATACACTGCCCTGTGGTACCCCACTTGTTACAGGTACAGATGACTATTTTGTGCCATTAATCACCACACGCTGCTTGCGGTCATGTAGAAAGTCTTCTATCCACGCTAGGACATTTCCCCTAATTCCGTACACTTCCAGTTTGATTTTCAGCCTTTCGTGGGGTACACTGTCGAAAGCCTTGGCAAAATCTAGGTAAATATTGTCGATATTACCACCCCGTTCCAGAATATGAGTCCAAATATCCAATACCTTGAGCAATTGTGTTAAGCAAGAGCGCCCCGGCAATAAAACCGTGTTGGCAATCTTTTACAAGGTTGTTTCGTAGTAGATGTTCCATCATGGCATCTCTGATAATACTCTCAAGTACTTTACATATTATGCTGGTCAGGCTCACCGGTCTATAGTTGTTCGTGGAGTGACGATCGCCCTTCTTGAAGATAGGACTCACATAAGCCACTTTCCATTCACTGGGGACCATTTGTTCATCCAGGCATTTACAGAACAGTATCTTCAGGGGCTCTGCAAGCTCGTTGCACAACTCTCTTAGCACTCTAGGATGCACCATGTCAGGTCTGGGACTCTTATGGACCTTTAGCCTGGACAGTTTATTTCTAATACCCTCTTCTGTGAACACAATGTGGGTCAGTGCTGTGTCGAACCGTCTGTCCTCAAACGCAGGAAGGTTAGTTGCATCCACTCTTGTGAACACTGAGGAAAAGAAGCTGTTCAATGCCTCAGCTTTATCCTGGTCAGAATCTGCGTAACTACCATCTTCAAGCCTCAGGTCTGATACTCCTACTCGTGTTTTCAATTTCGACTTTGCATAGCGGTAAAACGCCTTTGGGTTTGACTTGACCTCGCTTGCAACCAGCCTCTGGAACTCCTTTTCAGCCCTCCTACACTCTATCTTTGCTTGGTTTCTGGCTCTTGCATACATCCTCCTGTCTTGCTCATCGTTTGACCCAACCCACGCCTTGAATTTCTGGGTTTTCTTCTTAATTTTGTCGACCGCCGCATGGTTCATGTGTAGTGATTCCCTCGTATTCCTAGAAGCACTGGGTTTGGTCTTGGGTATATATTTATCGATCAAATGGGTCATTTTACTAGTTATGATATTCAGCGTAGTGTGTGCATTCTTGTACCTTAATAAGTCAGGCCAGTTGATACCCCTCATCTCTTTCCTCATCCCATTGTAATTTCCCTTGTAATATTTGCACCTTGGCCTGGCCTTATCTTGAACTAGGTAACAGTTAAATCTGAATGACAACACTGTATGGTGACTGGTGCCAACTGGGGCAAGGTGTTCCAGTTTGGCCTCCATACCCTCCTCGTTTGTTATGATGAGGTCAAGTGGCTTGGGTGTTTGCTCCTCTCTGTAATGTGTCGGGTCTCTAACATGTTGGAACAGAAAATTATCTCTCAGAGTTTCTATGAAAAGAGTAGCAGGATTATTCAAGTCATTCGGGGTGGAGTCGTTTCTCCAGTCGATGTCGCCATAGTTAAAGTCCCTCATGATAAGGAGGTGGCTAGGGTTGAGCATCGCCGCGTTGTTTATTAAGGTTCTTAAGTTCCTTTGATTTAGTGGGCCACAGTTTGGGGATCTGTAGGTACACCCGACGATAAGTAAGTCCCCTCCCTTTAATTTAATTTTACACCACTTGGATTCTTCAAAAACATCCTCTCCCTGTACCCTCACCTGGCTGGCTCTAAGGTCTTGCCCGGCGTAGATAACCACACCCCTCTTGCAAGTTTCTTGAGATAGGTTCGTAAATGAATCATATCCAGCAATACTGAACTCACATTCCTCTGGGTCGATTCTCCTGTTCTTGTACAACAGTTCTACAACTCCTACAATATCTGGTTGGTGTACTCTTAGTAGTGTTTCAAACTCCTCTCTCTTATCAAGGAACATGTCAGTATTAGTGTACATGACATTCAAGCCAGAATTTGTTCTCGGTAACGTCTCTGCTCTGAGTAATAAACCCTCCCCCCACATTCTCAGAAGCTGCAGCATTTGCTAAGTACACTGTATTTTGCAGGGTGTGGTTAGAAATGTCATTGTTCACATGGCGCTCGCCTCCTCCTGTCCGGTAGGCTGAGCTGGTGCCGCCTCCCGGGTAGGGGGTTGAGTGGGTGGAGGGTGCACTGCTGCCCCTTGGCCCTGTGTCGGCACACTTGTTTCCACTACCCTCCCCCTGAGTATGACCCATGTACACCTGTCCCCGTTCCTCCTCGACTCCTCCCTCTTCTACTTCAAGTCCTGCAGGAGCTTCTTGTGCTGTTCCCTCTGCATTACCGTGCGGTCTGGGTGAATGAATACATCCCGAAATGCTTCGCTCCTTGCTAAGTTTTTTGCCTGCCGAATAACCTGCCATTTCTCCTCCTCACTCACTAGTGTGATCTTGAGGGGGCGAGGCTTAGCCCCCTGCTTTTGTCCCAGCCTCCTCACATCCTGAGGGGTTGATCGAATCTTCAGAACCTCTGTGCAAATATTTTGAAACAGCAACTTGTCGTGTGTTTCCTTACTCACAGTTCCCTCCGCCTGGCTATCTGGGACTCCAAAAACTATTACATTGTTCCTGCGCTGGAGACGTTCCTGGTGTTCCTCCTCTCCCCTAACAGTAGGTCCGTTAATTTTCATTTCTTCAACACACTTCTTCAAAGTCCCAATCTGTTGTAGAACCTGTACTGATCCTGCATTACACTCCGCCCCCTCCCGTGGCCCTCCTAATACGTCAGCATAACTCCTCTTAGCAATCACCTCCATTCTATCGGCTACTTCCTCAGTCTTAGCAAGGATCTCTTTCCCAACTTGCTCCAGTTTGTCAACCAGCAGGGCTCCAGCTTCATCTATTTTCGTCTCTAGAGAACTCGTTCCCTTATGGCTTGCAATCGCTTCATTCACCTTGACTATGCAGCCAGAGCAATACCAGCAACAGCCATCATGCTTTATGGCAGTTAGTAACTTCCTAAACGTTGCATTCGTCAGGCCTATATCCTCCATATCCGACGTCTCCCTGCAGTAATCACATACCAAACTCATGGTTGTTGTTGTTGTGGGGGGAGGGGGGTGCAGACTGTGTATAGATCTACACCTATTTAAAAAAGCAAAGAGAGAAAAAGTACTTACCGTAGCTACTCTCTGTTGCCTGTAGAGTTGTCGTCTGCGACTGCGTACACTGTATCTCCCTGTGAATGGTGTATTGTAGGCACAGTTTCAGTCCTTGAGAAAGCACACAAACAAAATAAAATTTAAAGTCTCTGTGGCACCTATAACACGACTTGGTTTCAGCTGGCACGGTGCCTTTCCAGCTTGCTTGCTAGTGAGCGCTCACTTTAAGTTATTTACAACTTCAGCGGTCACTGATGACACTATGAACTATCACTGTGTACACTGTATCTCCCTGTGAGTGGTGTATTATAAACACAGATTCAGTCCTTGAGAAAGCACACAAACAAAATAAAATTTAAAGTCTCTGTGGCACCTATGACACGAATAGGGTGGCAGTTGTCCTTAACAGCTTGATTGCCAATATGTATTCACTTTAAGTTATTTACAGCCTCTTCTGCGGTCACTGATGACACTATGAACTGATTTGACTAAAGGCACAGTACTACACTCCCTGGTTGGCCTTTATCAGAGCTGTGACCACAACACCTTAAAAAATAAAATAAAATAAAAGCTTTGTCATGTGGCAGTGATTGTGTGGTTATAGGCCTGTGACCCTGGCTGTACCTCCAACTCGGTGGAAATTGAGTTTTCAAAAATACAATCGCGTCTAGCATTAAAAGTCCTACATCGATTTACACTTTCACATTACTGAGACGATCTTGACGATCTTATGAACTAGTCATGCGTACCAGTGACAAGCGGTGTACCACAGGGCAGTGTACTGGGCCCATTGCTGTTTGTTTGTTTCATAAATGACATGCCAGAAGCTGTACACTACTCGATACAAATGTTTGTGGATGAAGCCAGGTTATTCAAGGAAATTAAAAGCCAAACAGACTGTGAAGAGCTACAGAAAGATCTCTATGAGCTTCAAGATTTATTGAAGAAATGGCTGCTGAGATTCAATGTCACGAAGTGTAAGAGGATGCACCAGGGACGTACCATTGGTAAGGAGGCGTATCATATGTCCCAACGGGACGAAAAAAATGCATTAATAGAGACTGAATGTGAAAAGGACCTGGGTGTGTATGTTTACAATGAATTGAAATTCTCAGGCCTTTGTGAGAAGGCGAATCAAGCAACTTAAGTATGAGGTCTTATAAGAAGGTCGTGCAGATACCTATATGGGCTGTCCTTCGTAACGATCTTCAAGAGTGAGTTGCTTTCCCATCTGGAGTACAGTCACCCGGGTTTGGTCCCCGGGATATGCTAGAGACTGTCAGTTGATTGAAAATGTCCAAAGGAGGGCCACCAGACTGGTGCATGCTCTATGGCACCTCAGTTATCCAGACTTATTCGAGCGCCTGCAATTGCCTAGCTTATACCATAGATGGGCAATAGATAACCTAACTGAGGTGTATAAACATCTCTGAGGGCACTATTCAGTCGAGTGTCACTCCTTGGAGCTGGCGGATGCTCGCCCCACAAGGGGTCACAGCTCAAGGTTGAAGAAGCCACAAGTCCAGAAAACTGTGAGGGCAAACTTTTTCAGAGTGAGAATTGTGAACTTTTGGAACAATCTGCCTGGAACAATTTGCCAGAAAGTGCTGTGACGGCACCGTGTGTGAGCTCTTTCAAGACCTGACTTGCCCAACACTGGAGCAGGTTCCGATAGATTCAGGAGCCCAAGCGGCTAACGAGCTGATAAGTGGTGAAGAAGATAAAAGTAAAAAAGTAAGATGCCCATGGATACAAAGACACAATACAACAATACAGTACCTATGATTCAGCCAACCTGAATTTTAGAAATTATTTTATATATTATTATCTAGTTCTTCCAGCACAAAAGAGAAATGAACTTTTTGGTTACCAGAGTGGGGCACATAACTAGGTTTATTATATGGAAACCACGTAGAGCTTTGCTACCAGCACCCCACTTACCAACTCACGCTGTTACAGCTAGTGTGTACTGCCTGTCATTTGAACGTTGTGTTCCTTGCTTTACTATTATTGCTCTGTACATTATCGATCGCTGTGCATCATTCCTGTTGCTGTGCATCTCTGTTATTGTTGTGACTTCTATGGGTTACTGAGTACTGTATGGACTTTTCATTAACTTGCAATAATGATGGGTAAGCGTATTGCTGTTTCGGCTTCCTCATCAGGGAAGGCTGAGAACACCCGCAAGTCCTTGAGCTTGGAAGTGATGACTTTGCTTCTAACGTTGACTTGGTGAGTATTACTTTACTGTAGTGTACTGTAGTTATTATAGCAAATTCTATGGCTTTTCCTTCATTTCACCATTTGGCAATCTTTTCACTTCACATGGGACATGAGACTGCAAACAGCTGGGAGATCCCCACACCACTCCATTAACCCCCTCCTCTGCTGTGTCGACTAATTGCAGACCATGTAAGAATTGTTTATTCCCTTTATGTTTTTGACCTTACGATAATTATGTATTATATTTTGTTTGCACATTCTGTGTGAAACACTGCGTGTGTATGTAACAGAGCAAAAGAAAATGAAGAAAATTACGTATGTCTACATAAAATTATGAGTCAAACAATAACATAGCTCACAGCTCAGCCTCACCCGCTCTAAGTGCTACTGGGTGGCAAGCCGGTCAGTCGGCATCTCAGCCACACAATTATGTGCCATCTCCAAGGATATTATTCTTCGTTAACCCTTGTTTAAGATATTATTTCTCATTTCTGTTTGCTTGGCGATCATTTCACTTAGCAGTCTGTTTTCAAGAACCCATCCCAATCCCTAAACGATGGATACCAGACCTATCCTACCCTAACCTAACTTATCCCTGCTTAACCTATTCTATTCCTAACCTAACCTGACCAGACCCAACTTTTCCTAACATAACCTAACCAGACCCAACCCAACCCAACCCAACCCAACCCAACCCAACCCAACCCAACCTAACCTAACCTAACCTAACCTAACCTAACCTAACCTACCCTAATCTAATCTAACCAAACTGGGGGAGCTGTCAGATAACATATATAATGGTCTGAGAGATTTCATGCATGTAAATAATAATAGCAAGGAGAATGCTCAGATTAGGAGAGTTGCCAATTTCCTTCCGGCTAATTGGAGAGTTCCAAAAATGAGGGATTCCGGTTAATGGGGAGATTACAATAACATCTGGACTTCTCCTAGTCTACTGTGATACCCCATCTTCTTTTATCTGAATTAAATGTTAGGAACCTTGGAGCAGTTGTTGAAGGGTACATGTCAATACAGTGAGTTCTGCTATAACGCGTGTTTTGACAATGCGAATTGGCTCTAACGCGATTTATGAATAGAGCAGGGGTTCTCAACCAGGGGGGAATTTTCCCCCTCAGGTTTTCAGGGGGAAACTGATACTAATATGGAAAAAATAAAGGATTTTCAGTACAGTCAACCCTCACTTTACGCAGTCCCACATTCCGCGTTTCCACGTTTACACGATGCCCTGCCAGAACCCAGGATGCTCACATTCCGCGGTGGGTGTACCCCTTTACACGGGTGAAGTATAATTTTTTTATTTAGCTCATAAAATTCATACAAATTATCCGGCCAGAATATAATTTTCATTGCTGGAATTCTTACAATTTGATGATCATTTTGAATATAAACATCACAGATTTTGCATTAGACATACAAATTTTAGATATAATGTTTACTCTGAGTAAATATGTTATCTTTTGTGCAAAATATATGACATTTACATTCAAAATATTCCTGGTCTTACAAGGAATCCAGCAATGTCAATTATATTATCCTAACTTTAATCTGAGGTATTATTTAATACTAAATGTTAAAATCTATTTTTTTCACCCAACCTTTCTCTTGAAGGGAGGATTGGTGGGGGGGTGGGGGGGGAGGGTTGGGACGGACTGACCATCTGGCCCAGTTGGAAGAGGGGGAGAGGCAAGGTGGGGTACTTTGATTGACAGAGTGTCGTGAAGAATATTTTTTTTTTATTAACTGAAGATACCCGTATTTGTTTTAGCTCATAAAATTCATACAAATTATCCGGTCAGAACATAATTTACATTGCTGGAATTCTTACAATTTGATGATCATTTTCAATATAAACATCATAGATTTTCCATTAGACATACAAATTTTAGATATAATGTTTACTCTGAGTAAATATGTTATCTTTTGTGCAAAATATATGACATTTGTATTCAAAATATTCCTGGTCTTACAAGGAATCTAGCAATGTCAATTATATTATCCTAACTTTAGTCTGAGGTATTATTTATTACTATACCTGGTTTTCCCCCCAAAATTTCTCAGAGAGGGAAGAGCCAGGGAGTGTAGTGTGAGAAGAGGGGGAGGGAGTTGAGTCCATTATTTGAATGGACATTAACTTGGCGACTGTATTTCTCTATTTCTCTTAAGTATTAATTGTGTGCATGTACCATCATAAAATTAAGATGTTATTTTTACTAGAACATAGGTATTGTGTTGGAAAAAGTGGAGTTTGGGGGTCAGCTGGTCTCTATTTCATTTAATCCCATATGTTATGTTATTCACTTTACGCGTTTCTCACTTTCCGCGGTACCCTGTGGGTTACATTAACCGCGTAAAGTGAGGGTTGACTGTATTATATGCATATTATTTGGAATGCACTTTTTGAGGCAGACAATCTTGGAAAGGAGGGGGGAATGACATTCTGACATATGGTGAAAGGGGTGCATGGGGCAAACAAGGTTGAGAACCACTGGAATAGAGGAACGATATTTGTAAAACGCGAACGCTTGTTTGCTGTAATGCGATTTTTGCTTACTATTTCTCCAATTTTGTGGTATTAACTGTGAATATGGTAAAGAAGAATATCTCCAAGAAGCGTTCTGGTGATTGCATTCCCGGTGATGATCGTAAAAGAAAGGCTATAACACTTGAAGAGAAGCTCGATGTTATCAACCTCAAAATCACCCTTCTCCCCCATCAAGTTATATTCATATTTTTTCAAGGTAAAGTATTACATTTACTGTATGATTTCATTATTAGATATGACTGTAACATTTATTTAGACTGTGCTATCCTTTGTGTTAGGCTAGCTACTAAATATTTTTCGATTTCGAGTAGTAATCTGCACCGAACCCTATTTTCTCCATAAGCCCTGTTATTTCTATTACGCGATTTTCTATAACACGGTGTTTTACAAGAATACAACTAACGCGTTATAGCAGAACTGACTGTAGGCATCTTTGAGGTTTATTAAAGTTTTTAGATTTTTCTAAAGTTTCTCAGATTTGTTCAAGTGTCATATTAAACCAGTGAAGCAGGAGACAATTTTGCCATTTCAGGTTGAGAATTACCTCATCCTTCCACCTTTTAAGATCTTAACATAAAACAACTCCCAAACAAAATGCATAGGGCTGATTTTTCTATGACCTCGTTCTAGTGTAACAAAGATGGGAAAGAAGTATGGATGAACAGATGGACAGATGCAAATCAATATGCCCCTTCATACAGTGATTGACTAACACTCTAAAGTTACTAATAAAGATCATGGATCAGAGATTAATATTTACATTCTATGGTAAGACACAGGTACAGGTACAGTAATAGGTGGGTTAACTCACTCACCAGTGATAATGCTTATGAAGATGCCAATCACAATGGCTACGAGGAATCCAAGTGTTCCAAGTAATGTATAGGACAGTCCCAACAGCTTCTTTGGGTAATCCAAGTCTGACACTCTGCCGGGCCACACTCAATATAAATATATGAAGGAACATAATTATGATTAACACTACTACATTTAAGGTTTAAGCTAGCCACTGAAGTGAAAATCTGAGTAAACATGCATGTGAACAAGTGAAGTTATTAGGATAGATCAACAGTTTAAGAAATGTTTATTTGGTTCAATCCCCAGCCATGAGAAGGGTTATAACCAGCATGACCATACCAAACATTGCAGGTTTTCTCCGGGTACTCCAGTGTCCTCCTGTACTAACACTGGACAATGTAGGTCTTAACATAACAACAAAGAACAGACCAATTGCTTGAATGACTAGTAAGCTAAAAGTAGTGGAGTTGATAAATAAAAAAAAAAAAAAATAAAATAAAAGTATATAAAAAATGTTAACTGCAAGTCAGTGTACAGGTAAATGAGTTGTGATGTAGCAGAGTGACTCTTAATTTAAAGGAATGAACTATGCACTTCTGTATCTCAAGTCTCACACAGATTTTTAGAGGTTTTAATGTCTTCAAGAAGCAAGATAAGCAAAGTATATAAAACTTGAAATAATACATATGAATTCTGTAAATATGGACAAGCTCTGGAAATGTGATAAGTTAATGAGTAGTGTCATCAGGGTTATTAGGAAGAAATTATGTCATGAACCTCTCCTGACAACTGGGGTTTGTGAAAGTGAAGTACTGTATATAGTCAGGTCACAGTATTCACACAATGCTATGTACATTAACCTCACCTGACAATTGGAGTTTGTGGGAGTGTAGGGATAGTGAGGTTAGCAGGGCAGCCATCTGTGGAGGTGGGGAGAAGCTCAGGTGTGATCCCCACAGCTATCGAACCAAAGTGAAAGCCCAGAGCTATGACAGTTCCCAGGATCATAGCTGCACATGAACCCTGAGGAGATAAAGCAGTTAATGAATAGATACGAAATTTGTTTTCTATCTTGTTTCATCAGTTCTTCAATTTTCTTCTTCTCTGAGACTTTTTTTAGATACTCCCACTTGTTGAAAGCTAATGGAAATATTCACAGATATTCCTTCCTGCTACATTTTGATAGTTCTGTTTTACTTGTTTTATGGTGATAATTTATGGTCCAACTTTTGTGTCTTACGATTTGTTTTTATAAAATTACACTCTCCTAATAATCATAACTTACATACAGCATCAGGATTCAGCAAAGAAATGGAGTACAGTATAATTTTTCTTTTTACACTTATTGTTTGTTTAGGATATACTACAAGCAGTACTAAAATAACAGTGATGCCATTGTTACACATGAATAATACAGGTTACACCTTAAAGAGGTTAAAGGACTTCTTAAGAGGGGAAATAACACTTTCTCTATGTGATCCCCCAAAAATTTTAATCATATTTTTTTGTGTATAGCTTTTGTTACTATGGTAAGTGTGTATATGTGCATGTACACATGTGGCCCAAATTCCTTCAAAACTTGAGAGGGAAATATGTGATTGCATGATAGATGACAAATGCTAGTCTTCAGTACAAATTATGTTTGAATGAAATTACCAGTATGTACAATGAAACTGGTATTATAATACCAAGACAAATCTGAGTGCATGCATGTTTCAAATCACAATCCTTTTTACTTACACGGCTCTCAAGTAGACCGTAGAAATTGTCTAGTGTTAAGGAAATTTTGTGAGCAGAAATATACAGTCCTGGCCAAAAGTCTTATGCCAGGGAGCTTTGCCAGACCCAGCTATGTGGCAACGTCGGAGACACTCAGGCACGAACACACACATAGCCTGTGCCAGAAACCCCAATTGTGTGTGTCATGGTCACAATTGCACGGTTAGTAATTTCAACACTTGTTTTCTTCTAAAAGTCCTGAAGTATACTCTTACAATATAAACTGAAAGTTAAGAGATAACCTGTATGAGTAGCCTTAAGTCAGATACACCTACAATGAGATAAAGCATTCAAGGTGTATTGTGTATATGTTGAAAGCGTCATGTATCTTTATGTACAGTAAGTCCTCGCTTAACGTTGTTTCAGTACTACGTCTCTAAACTTTAGAGACCAAGAATTCGTCTTCGTCGGGGACTACTTTTTACGGCGCACCACCAGCCCTCGTCTGGCCGCGCTACGCTCTCTCAGCCCGATGCGCTGCCCTCACTCACAGAACATCACAGCGTCCCCAAGCGACGCCGAGCTAGTCTTTGTTGCGACTTCACATCATTCGTGTGTGCTTAAGTGCTTTTGCTCTAAAACTGTACTCTAATCATTCGAAATGGCTTCCAAGCGCCCATCAAGTGCTACTGATGCTAGTGTAGTGAAAAGGCAACATATGACCATTACCCTGGCTACGAAAATGGATGTATTAACCCACTTTGAAAAAGGGGAACGTGCTGTGGACATAGCCGCTGTGCTTGGTCTAACCCCCACAACTGTGCGTACTATTCAGACCAACGCTGACAAAATTAAGGTTAGTGCTGGAAGTGGTTCTTCTCTGAGTGCAACTAAGACAACTCGTACTAGAAGCACTGTGATAGAAAAGATGAAAAAGATGCTGGCAATGTGGATGAAGGACCAGAATCAATGCAATGCCCCTGTGAGCCTTATGGTTGTCCAGCATTAGACCAGATCCTTGTTTGATGACTTAAAGACAGAAGAGAGTGAAGGATCGAAGGAAGAGACCTTTACGGCCAGCCGAGGAAGGTTTCAACAATTTAAGTGTCGTTATAACTTCCACAACATAAAGATGATTGGTGAAGCTGCCAGTTCAGATACGGTTGCTGCCGAGACATTCCCGCCAGAATTCAAACGGATTATCCAGCAAAGAGACTACTCATTGAAGCAAGTCTTCAATGTGGATGAGACTGGTCTCTTTTGGAGGAGGATGCCTGAGAAGACCTATATCTCCAAAGAGGAGAAAAGAGCACCAGGTTTTAAAGTGGCAAAAGACCGCTTAACACTGCTGCTTGGCGCGAACGCTGCCGGCGACTTTAAGCTGAAGCCTATGCTGATTTGCTGATTTCTAGTGCTGCTATCCCACGGGCCCTGAAAGGTTACTCTAAGGATCATCTTCCAGTGATCTACAAGGAAAACAAGAAGGCATGGATAACCGGTGCCATATTTAGCCAGTGGTTAAATGTGTACGCTGTCCGTGCATTGAAGGAATATTGTACCAAGGAGAACCTTGACTTCAAAATTCTTCCGATCTTTGACAATGCTCCAGCTCATCCTCCCAACCTCGACGACTTGCATGACAGTGTAAAAGTTGTATTCCTGCCTCCCAACACGATAGCACTGTTGCAGCCTATGGACCAAGGCGTCATCGCCATACCATGGCCCAGCTGCTCAGGGCTACAGACGGAGATAATAAACTTATGATCCGAGAATATTGGAGTGGCTTCAACATTCTTCATTCAATTGACAATATTGGCATGGCATGGGAAGAGGTTTCAGAAAGTTGCCTGAATGGTGTGTGGGGTAAACTGTGGCCCGAGTGCGTCAACAGTTTTACGGGATTTACAGACTTAGTCCCAGCAGTTAATAGGGATATCCTCAGCTTGGCTAGACAGGCAGGCTTTGATGAGCTAGAATCAGAGGATATTGAGGACGACCTGGCATCCCATACAGAAGAGCTCACCAATGATGATTTGCAACATTAACAGAACACAGTCCCGTTGAAGACGAAGACGATGAAGAAGAACCTCAACGAATGCTAACTACCAAGAGGATGGCAGAAGCATTCAACAAGATCCAGCAAGGTATGCAAATCCTTATAGATGATGACCCAAACAGAGAACGTAGCTCAAAGATTCAACACAGCGTTGATGAAAGTCTTGGTTGTTACACAGATCTATAAGGAGAAGAAGAGTAGCACCAAGCAGTCAACTCTGGATTAATAGTTTTGTCGTGGGACGGCAGAAGCAGCAGCATCTTCACAACAGCCGGCAGCTGAGGAGGAGCACACAGCAACCAAGGAGGAACAAACATCAACGGAGGAAGAGCAAGCAGCGGCGGAGGAACCCCAGACAGCGCAGGAGGAGGAGGAGGAGGAGGAGGCAGCCGCAGTCTCAGTGACTCACCACCCTCCTCTCTTCCTCCTCCACTCCCGCCATCCTCCTCCTCCGCTCCTGCCATCCACCTCCTCTGCTTCACTATCCACCAGACACCTCCGCCCATACAAACTTAGGACAGTACTTGTAGTTGTATGTGCACGCACAATTTTCTTAAGAAGTGGCAATGATTTTCTGTATAAGTAATGTATTTCATGGGACAAAGGAAAGCTCAGGAACGTAACTCCTGTATTTTATCTATTTCTTATGGGGAAAATTGATCCGCTTAACATTGTTTCGTATAACGTTGCATTTTCAAGAAAGTAACCCTGACGTTAAGCGAGGACTTTGTCTAGAGTAAATTGTGTTAAGACAATGTGTTCTAGAGCTGGGATTACTGATTTGGTGTTCGTGAGAGAATGATACAAGAGTTCATAACTGAAGTTATATATTTTTGATCTGTGAGCCACAGATGAGTGTTTTGAAATTTATGTCAATTTTGTATTTAAGATTCTCATTAATCTTGTTAGCATAACCTGTCAACTGTAGAAAACTTTTAAATGTAAGTTATACCCGTGGACAAAAAGGAAATAGTGGTCAGAAGCTCCCCCCATAATGTTTTGTCATTCTCGGCACTTGACATCAGTTTATTTGTCGCATTGCAGAGCTCGAACACTGATTAGATTATAAAAGCTATTCATAGAAAATTAATAAAGCCCATAGCCTGATTTTCATAAGCCAATATTTACCATAAGTGAGACCGATAAATATGTTTGTAAAATTCCCAACTAAATATCTCAGGGGCATAAAAAAGGGCGAGCGGAGTTTGAATCGTTCACTCTGAAAGCATTCTCCTCATCAGCCAGGTACTGTATGTTATTCCTTGTCTCATCGTCCTATTAAGTGAATTTGACTTAGTTGAAATGTGTTGAATATGTCAGTGTTCCTGTTAACGTAATTGAAGTCTTGTGTGTTAACGTAATTCTGTTTGTCATGTGTTTCCCTACACAAAACGTATTTTATGACAGTCGTATTTTGATTCAATGTCATTCACTCTGAACGCATTTTGCTCGTGACCCAGGCACTGTGTGGGTTGCTGGAGCTGCCAGGAGGTGGTGGTCAGTAGCCAAGACGATGTCTAACAATGGAGGTCTTTAATTCGTCGGGACCAGAATCTTAGTTAATGAAGCCAACGTGAGTCCTGGGCCTACGGGAACAGTCGTGTCTGGGAGGCATGGCTTGAACCCAGGATGAGCGGGAACCTAGCCGGCTTTGTTTTGTATACAAAACACATGGCTTCTTGGTGCAAGTTGTATGTATCTGTACTTGTTGTCTCGGGAATTTGATTTCCACCTGGTAAATGAATACCTATATCATATATCCTGTGATTTTAGGAGTGGAAAATGGTGTGAAATTGGTATGAGATGAGAGGCAAGGTTGTTTTACTGACTAGTGGAGTCATGATAACTGTGTGTGGGCCAGAATAACTTTTATCCCCCAAGTGTTGAGTAATAATGATTATTATTATACACAAACAATCTTGAGATGGGTATTTTAAAAGGGCTATGAAGTGAGTATAAGGAGTAAGATAAGTGAAGAGCGGACAACCAGTCCTTGTTGTATCAATCACTCGTGGAGTTGGGAGAACTGTGAGTGTGGGCCAGAGTAACATATATCCCCAGTGGAAAGTAATACAGTGGACCCTCCATTAAGGAGCGATTTAATCTACGAGATTTCAGTTAACGAGTTACCTCCTGTAAGGACTTTCAGTTCTATTAATGGGTACAAATTCTAATAATGACAGCCTTATGAGAAACACGTTTTGGTGCGGGCAACAGCTGATCGACTCGTCCGCCAATAATCGGTTCTCTGTTTAGCTTTGTTTCCAGTGGAGTAAACATCGAGAAAGTTGTGCTCTTGAATATTTTTGCATTTTTACATTAAAATTATTGGTAATTTTGAAATTTAGTTAACATATTGACAATATACAGTACAGTGTTGGTATAAATAAAAGAAATCTGGAATTAGTTAAATAAATTGTTGCGAACTTAAAATTTTATTGGTGAAAGTATCAGGCACCTTTTAACTCAACCAGCAACACTACATACTGTACACACCTCAAAGTAAGTGTTAAAATATTTTGTTGTTTTTTATTTATTATTGTACAGTAATTCTATTACCGATATACAGTATTTTGCATGTATTTTTTAATTAATTTAAAGGGAATGCTGTGAGTTGGAACCAATTACCTAATATCCCATTGAAATAATAGATTCAGTTAACGAGTGACTCTGTGGAACCAATTATGCTCTTTAATAGAGGGACCACTGTACTTAATGTACAAGAACAATCTTGTGATGGGTGTTTGAGAAATGCTATGAAGTGTTAGTAAGAAGTAATAAATAATAGTGACGTGCAGACAACCAATCCTTGTTGTGTGTCTCTGTACTGCATACAGTACATTAGTACGGGTCTCTGTAATCTCTTCTGATTCATATTACAACTGCATAACATTCAAACTCACCGAGCTAGTGGCGAGTGTCACAGAAAATGGTAAACATTTGGAAGGGGTAATTCGTATGCTGTATGTTGTATTATACGAATTATACCAAAGTCCGTGCATATACCGGTAATCTTAAGTATTAAGGGAGAACTCGAGGTACAAGTATGAAGATTAGTGAAGGGCCAATTGATACGGACTAGTTTACTATAGTGAATAAGTGTGACCCGTGTCTGAAGGCTATGGTATTTACATCTGTGTACGATTAGTACACATCGCTGCCTCAGGTACCAGATGAAAATATGAGAACAATGACCTGGGAAAAGGATAAATGTATCAGACATATGACAAGTGTTGGAATTGACCATAAACTATACTCCAAGGAAAACATCTTATGTACCTCGGTGTGAGCTTAATACACATCGCTACCCCATGTGACAGTGCAATGATTCAAGAATCTTATGAATGCATGAAACAATTGCAAAGTGTGGGGAATGAACCATACATACAGAATAAGGTGAAGTGGATATACCCAACCCAAGAACCAAGGCTTTTGTTGGTCTGGCGCCTAAACTGCCCGAGGCTAGTTTTGAGGTAATAAGATAGCCAAAGTAATTTGTCTGAAACTAACAAACCAGACACTTACTGTAGTATGTAATTTAGAATTAAGGTATGTAACTATAAGGCATAAAGTCGCAATATATAAGAAAGTGTATGTGTGGGGACCAGAATAAAGACATGGTGAGATTTAAGCATTGGCACCAGTAGGTCTAGTCAGGGTAAGACGCTGCCCATCGTCCTTGATGACACTCAGCATCTCATACACACAGGTCAGCACACTACAACTGGCGTTACATCAGAGTACTTAAAGAGGCGTATCTAGCATTTTATAGTCATCTTAAAGCCTTGCCTAATGTTATTGCTAAAATAATAAGTTAATTATGAGGTTTTGTAATGTTGTGTGTTAATAAAAAAGCCCATCAGGCCAGTAAACACATTTGTTTACACTCAGTGATGCTTGGCATCTCATACACACAGGTATACATGCCTGTGAGCGGAGGGAGACCAGTGAGGTCTCAGAGAAAATGCTTGCCCCAGCAACCACTGCTCTACTTTGAGGAACCCACCTGGTGTTGTGGGTAATGCTTATGGCCACCATGCAACCTCCCCTATGGATCTTTGGACATCTCACACTTCAACACCCTGGATGTGCAGAAATGATGGTGCTATTTGAGGTGCTCACGATCGCCACTTTCAGCGACCTAAGGATACCTGATGCAGAAACAGTCCTGGTATGAATGTCTGGGAAGGATCTCATCTACCTAACAAGAGTAGAGTGCGAGACGGGTACCTAGTGTGTGTACTTTGGTGCTAAGGATGAGCGGCAGTACCTGTATGTATTGTGGATATTATGGAATGTTCCTTATTAAGGGTGATGCAAAGGATGTTGGTGCTATTGCATATTGTGGGTGATTGGAGAAGGAATGACCTAGGTAAGGAGAAGGTCAGGTATTTTTGTGTGGTGCAGTGACATTAATAAATGCGTGGGGAAGGTCAACTATTTTTGTATTGTGATGAATACAATATTTTTTTATATATTAAGAAATAAAGTAGATCAATTCTTGGTTATTGTTTCACCCTTCCTTCCACTCTCAACTTGATTAATGAAAAACACGAACTCACAGCTCCTGGATTGCTCTGCCAGCTACCTAAAGAGCACTGTCCTGTGGTCTGGTGGCAGCAACCTTAAGTTAATTAGCTAAATTAAATACCCCCAAGAATTAAGAGATCACACTGTGACCATCCTTTCACTCGGAAGTTTCAGCTATAGGACAGTTAGGCGACGACTCCATGGAATTGGCATCCACCACAGGGTCTCTGCTGTCAAGCAAAGGTTTGAAGAACACCACCAGGTTGGGGGGCTACAGTTCCCTGAGCAGAATGTGGGGGAGGACCTGGATTTCTGGGCAACCACGGTCGTCTTCACTGCTGGAGACCTGATAATAATAATGGTTGCCCCTCGTGTAACGAGGATGGCCGGCCATAGGGCCATCTAGGCGTGAATTTGTTTAAAATGTAGATGTCACTAACACAACCACACCCAAAGGCAGTGATTTTCAACCTTTTTCATCTCATGACACAGTGAGCCAGGCACTAAAATGGTTGAGGCACACCATCAGTGTTTCAGGATAGATTTGATCGGCGGATCTACACTATGGAATTAAGGAGAGTATTTAAAACTGCCATTTGGGCTTTTAATGAACAACACATTTGTTTATTTATTGCATCATTGAAAAAAAAAGGAGTTTAATGCGCTCCATAAAAGTACCAGTAATGTCAAAACGTATCCAAATGCTATTTTTTAAAATGCTATCCAAATGCTATTTAAACTCCCGCGGCACACTAATGTGCCGTGGCACATTGGTTGTAAATCGCTGCCCTAAGGAATAGTCTAAGAAGACCAGACAGTTTGCCAACAACACCGGTTAACCATTACCCCGGAACACGATCCGCAAATCGATTAACATCCAGGTTCCCAATTACTGCCGAGTAGACAGAGGCAAACGGCGTAAAGAAACTTGCCCATAGTTTCACCTTGCCCGGGGATCGAACGCGGGTCTGTTCGATTGCGAGGTGAGGATGCTGACCATTACACCACCCGTTAAGACCGGCAGCATGTTTATCAAGAAGCCAGGAGAGGCCACATGACTGTAAACATGTGGGGCTGGATCAACCAATATTTAATACTCAATTCAACTTAAAAGTGATAAAACATAGTTTGCTCTATACAATTTTACCAATTGTAACATACAGCAAACTCTCAAACAAAGTAACGCTTAAACTAATGTGTGTTTGTGTGTATGCGTCAGTCAGGGGTCCACATCGTGTTTTCTGTTCCCATTCAAATTACCATAGAATCCTGTATAATATGTAAAGTTAATATCTCAAATGTGGCACTTGATTATACTAAAACCGGTAGTAAGTTTGTCAATGAAATGTGACACTGATGATATGTAGGAGAGGAAAAATTGACTTGAGCACCTCACTCCTGCTGCCCTGCTGTCTGGAACCATCACCAATCCTCTCTCCTATCAGGAACCCTCTCTGTTATGACTTGAAATAAAGAATCACTTTATACAGCATTTTTTATACCTGTCCTCCTGACACTCACATAAGACAACTCATATCACCGATACATGGTGTAGTTCAAAGAGACAACACAGAATGGATTATTCACATGATTGAGGTGTCTAGCAAGTGGTGTAGCACGGCATATGTGCAGGGAGGCATTTCGTCTGTCTCGCAAATGCATTGGTTCTCATCATTCAATTTAGGCCGAAATAATTACTAATGGTATCCATTGGTTTGTTCCTGACACTGCTGGTACTATGACAATCTACGCATGAAATGCACCCTTTAAACTGCACAGCAACGCTTCAACCATGGGCCTGGTAGTTCCATCATGAGTGTTTGTGCGTAAGTGTCTCTCACGATGCCTGTGCCAGGCAAAATTGCCTGGCACAAAGACTTTTGGCCGGGACTGTACATGCATGAGTAATCATCTACTTATTAGTGTTAAAATTAATTGACTAAAAGTACCAGTATTTGGTCAGCATATATTTTGTGTACTATCCAAGGAAAGTATAAGGAGAATCACCTTAGCATTAGTAAAGGGCATAAAAATAGCCATGATGAAGGCTGCCATGAGAGGACCTGCCACAGCAAAAGTCACAGCAATAGCAGCCTGAAGGACGCCACCCATACTGCCAGCCAGAAAGGCCAGGCCAACTGCTATCATTCCATAAACCAATGCTGTGGGGTGGTAAAATATTGTGATATAAACCTTGGCTGGTGGTGTTGCACCTAAAAAAATGATGAATGTGGTAAACGTTTATGTCTTTTAAAAATAAAATTGTAGAGTTAAAATCAGAGAAAAATTGTCCAAGAATCCAACATCCCTGCATTTTAATTAATTTGTACTAATATTCTACTATGAATGTTTAGCACTAAAAAGTAAAATCAACAACATTACAGTTGTGAATGGGTTAAGTAATGCTAACTGCAAAGATATAGACTAGAAACTATTGGTATTAAAGGAATAAATAGATATACAGTACCAAGAACATGATGTCCATTAATCTAATTTCTCAAGTACAGTTTAACACATCAAAAACTATCTTGATATTGTGATGATGATAGTATTTCTGCTTTATATCTGATTTATATTACAGACAGTTCATAGCTATCACTATCCACTTGGACTTACCTAGTATCTTGGTGATGAAGGCCTGGGTGGATTTGGGGAGGGAGGCACACCTAGGGATCATGACAAGCCAATCTTCCCAAGTCACTGCTGCTTGGGAGTTCACCCCTGATGATATGGTACTGGAAAAACAAATTAACAATTATTTAAACCAACAAGAGCTACATAAACAAAAAAGTAATAAATTAAAATGAGTACATATACTATTGATTACTCTTCTACCTTTATCCTTTTCACGACTAATCGACTCATCTGATACCTGTACTGTACTATTAATGATATAACAAAAGCAACATCAGCTATAGATATACTTACTGTATACATGTAACGCAGATACAGGACACAACTACACCACAGATAGTCAAGAAAATCTCCAATGGCATTATGGGTATAAAATGTACATTCACTTGGTACTTCATATGGAAGATGTATTTGTTTCACAGAAAATTTACATGATATTGTATTGCTGTAATATTGTGTTGCCTTAATTACTGTTATATTATGCCTATAGTCTGTCTTGAATGAATATTAGAAGACTATACTTAAAAATGGCAAACTATAGGCATAATACAACAGCTTTGATGACAACACAAGTTTATACTTTATAAAAATAAACAGTTGAAGAAACCTATACTGTATCTCAGCAAGATTTAGGCAAACAAGATCTATAACTTTAACCTAACCACATGAAGTAAATGTTAACATCTACCAGTATGTATGTGAACCAAAGAAAATTTATACTCAGAAATTTGTCTTTACTTTGATAAGTCGGAAGAAATAAAATGAGAAAAGAATATGTTATACTGTACCTAAGTGCCCCAGAGAAAAGGCAGGCAGTGAAGAGCCCAGCGAGGCCAGGGACAGTGTTGAGGCGGTCTATGACATAGAACGGAAGGATCTGGTCCTTAGAGGAAATGAGCCCTGCTTTTAAGGGGTCGCACTCAGCATAAGTGGCAAAGAGCACCAAACCTGCACCAAAGACATCAAGGAGAGGTAATAAGCAACTTGGCAAGCATTTTATCCTCTTCACCATTGATCAACCTGTTAGGTGTTTGGATGGTCGGCCACATCATTTACACACTGTTGGCAAGCACTGGGCATCTACTGGTTCCAAAATGTATCTGTACCTGTACCAGTGTTGATCAAGTCTGGTCTAGAATGAGCTCACACTCAGCACCATCGAGGACACTCTCTGGCATATTGTTCCAGGACTTCACAAATCACTCCAAAAAAGTATGCCCAGAAAGTTTTTTGAGCTTGTGATTTCTTCAACTTCTTATAAGAAGGGCATTCATATACAGGTCCTTTGACAGTCTGTCCCTCAAACACTCTTTAATAGTGAGATACTTCCCAGTTTGGAGTACTATCAACCCGTCTGGTATATGCTAGACTGTCAGTTGATTGAAAATGTCCAAAGTAGGGCCATCAAATTGGTGCCTACACTACAGCACCTCAGTTACCGAGAGAGAATAGAATGCTTGGAGTTGGGGTGACAACAAAAATCTCTAAGCATCTCAGGGGGCATTATTCAGTCGAGTGTTCATATCTGAAGCTGGCAGATGTCCATCCCAGTAAGAGTCATAGCTTAAGGTTGAAAAAGCCACAATTTGAAAAAATTGCCAGGGCAAACTCGTTTAGAGTAAGAGTTGTTGAACTCTTGGAACAATTTGCTGGAGAGTGTTGTGATGGCACTGCGTGAGCTCACTCAGGACCGGACTTGACAAACACTGGTACAGGTACAGATAAATTCTGAAGCCAGTACATGCTTAGTACTTACCAACAGTGTCTAATAGAGACGTGACCCAACCGCCCAAGTGCCTAACATGGCTGTCAGTGATAAAGAGGATAAAGTATACATGGTAATTATTAAGAGACCAAACTAACATGAGTAATCAATAAAGGTGTTCTGGGTCAATTGGGGAAGGAGGTCCTCACTAGGTGGATCAAGCACAAAATAAAAAAATCAATACCATAATGGGTTCCCTGGCAAAGGTCCTTATACATATATACAGTACCAGTATTTCTGTACCGTAAATACAGTACGGGCTAATTATTGACGACTGACCCACGACCGATTTTTCATAGAAAACGATTATAAAAATGCTACAATTTCACTGTGTTCTATAGTGGAAACTGTCATAGTTGGTGCAAATGTGTCAAAAAGTGGTTATTTCTAAATTAAACCTAACCTAACCTTAGTTGATATGAAAAAAAGAGCAGCAGAAGCATTGTTAGAAGACCTCACCAACCTAAACAAACAAACCTACCTAACTTTTGAGTCCCCCGGACCCCCCTGGTATATTAAACAGAAAAACTTACTATGATAGGGTGTAATTTTATGTTTTTTGTGGACATAAGAGCAGCCGTCCGTACTGAATGGTTCTTAAGCATACACTAAGCATCGGCGTTGATCAAGCCCGGGTGGCGGAGTGTTTCGAAATACGTCAATACGATTGGCTGTTTACATCCTGGGATGAGACGTCAATCCATATTACTGCCGAGAAAGCAAAGTAGTATGCGCCTAGGTGCCTAATTATTTACCAAATGAAGCATTTGCACAAGAAATGATTATCATATCAGAACTCACTGATGAAAATAAAGTTAGAAAATAAACAGTAAAACAAATAACTCGTCCGTGGGTCAGTAGTCAATATTAACCCCCAACCTAACCGAACCTTAATATAAAACCGCTGCATTACCACTGAGAATACAAAGTAGTGAGCACCTTAAGCGTCTAAATATCTATGAAACGATGTACAGTATTTGGACAAGAAATGATTATCATATCAGAACCCACTGATGAAAATAGAGTAAGAAAATAAACACCCAGACAAATAACTCGTCGCCAGGTCAGTCGTCAATATTAACCCAGTAATGTTGATAAGTTATTACTAAATTCACAAACAAGATAATTTATTGCACATAAAACACCTGCACCTCATCCTTGTGTAATCTGGTACCAGTTCTTGCTGGAGGGAATCAACAGGCTCGGAATATCTGATCTTGGTGATCTAATAACCAAGGTGATGGAGAGAAAATCTGTGCTTCACCACTGATACTATAGTGATTGAATAGACAAAGTAGGTAACGTGTGTATGTGTGTGTGTGCTTGTACAGTACAGGTATATGCCTACCATCCAGGTGATATGATCCAGAAGTGGCTATATACAGGACCGTTTTTATTATCTAGCGAGATTTCGTAGAATTTCGAAACTACTGTAATATTTTTTAACGTCATATTCATGTCATGACAGGACATGGCACGACAGTTCAAGTTAGGGCATGACATGACATATAATGTCATGATATAGTATGCAATGACATGATATGCCATGACAAAACACGTCACGGAAGTGGCTATATACAGGACCGTTTTTTTTTATTTCAGGTTGTGAAATTTCGAAACTACTACACTCTTTTTTCATGCCATATTCATGTTATTTCATGACAGGAAATGGTATGAAAGTTCAAGTCAGGACATGAAATGACATGTCATATCACAGAAGTGGCTATATACAGGACAATCCTGCAGCTACTTTAACCCAAAAAGGCGATGCAGTACAGAATACACAACCGTTTTTTATGGGAAATCTCACGAGAATTTGCGTATTTTCGGAAATAATCTTTTTTGCGCCATATTCATATGTCATGACAGGACATAACATGTCATGACTTGCCCCACCACAGCAAGAGTAACCAGCAGAAACTGCCCTCACCTGTCAGCACCATGAGGAAGGAAAGGAGGGCGTAGTATGGGATAATGAGGAACATGGACCTGTGGAAAACAAAACATCATAACTTATTATATCTGACACAATGTGAACTGCCTATACCTGCTCTCACTCAACACCCTGGTCCTTGCACTTCACTTAAGAACTTCTTGCCTTGCACCCTGTCCCTCACTCTTAACCTCTACCATACCCGGTAGTCCAAGCTCTTCACTTAAGTTAAAACCTAACTCCAATCACCACTCTACTCCTTTCCCACCCCTTAAAACACCATTCCTTGTCCTCCACCTTAAGCAGTAATCATGTGCACCCCTGCTGATAACTATACACACAGGTGAAGAACTCACATGTAGGCGTGCTTGAGGTTCTTCATGCTGGAGTAGCGCTGGATGGCTGTCTGGGAGCAGCAGTAGGTTGACAGGGTACTATGGAAGCCAGACCAAGCAATGCCAAACACTGTGTGACGTTCAAACACATCCACTTTCCAGCTGAAAACCACATTATACACAAAACTTAAATTCTTAAACAACCAAGGGAACAATAAAAAATAACAGGTTCAGGTACATTCAGGAGCCGGTACATGCCCAGTACTTGCCAACAGTCCGTAACAGAGACGTGACCGATCGCCCGGGCGGCTAACGAGCCGATCATTTGGTGAAAAGGATAAAAGTAAAAGGACTCGTGGTAAATATTTAGAAGTTGCCACCACCTAATTGACTTTTGAAAATGGGTTTTTATGCTGTAAATTATCGCGTTAAATACAAATATAACCTTCATTCCCGTCGGAAATAGCAATAGTGAAGATATTGAAAAAAGGTAGTGTAAGATTGTACCATCGTACGATATGTTTTCCCATGTTGAGATGGGGGCTTGTCTTTGGCAGCGCCCGGTTGCCATTCTCCAGCTGACGCTGTTAGAATAAAGTCTACAAAGAACGTGGTCTATGACTCCAACCTCTCACATGGCGCACTGAGTAGGATATGTCGGGGCCCGACACGCCATTACAGCCCTGACAAGAACGCTGACATGGCCCCTACACGTCCACGATTCTCGACGCCCTCAAGGGGACGCCAGGGCTTCTCTACACCGGCTGGGAACACCACGCGCGCCCAGCAGCAGGCCATGAGTGCATTGATGGCTCAGATGGCGTCTCTAGGTGCTGGCGGTGGTCATGCTTCTATGCCAGTCATGAAGCCCTCAGCAGCTGTCGCTCCAGAGAAGTGTGAGGCAGAAATGCCAGCAGCTGCGTTTAGGACATGGAGGCGGTCCATGGAGTCATGGGTGCTGTTGAACGGGTGATCACAACTGGTGGCCACACTCCACATTCGCCTGAACTGCGTCCCTGCACTCCAAAGGGTGATTGACTCGAGATACCCCAGCGGTCAGTGGGAGCAGCTCTCGCCCAAAGAAGCCCTGGACGCCATCAGTGGAATGGTTCTTCAATCTTCAAACCAAGCTGTGAAATGGAACGAGTTTTTCAACAGCAAACAAGGTGAAGAGGAGCCCATGAAAAGATATTTTCAACGATGCCTCGCAGAGGCAGTGGAGTGTGAATTTAAATGTCCCACCTGTGATAACGACCTCTCTGAGTACATGCTATTACGCAAAGTTATGGTGGGCCTGAGTAACCCAGTGTTGAAAAGGGAAATTTTCCAGGGGTACTCTAGTTATAATAGTGTTGAAGTGCTTAGAAACAAATGCATGTTATTTGAGGCAGCAGTGAGAGATGCTGGTGTATTGTGTCGTACGTCTGGCCAGGCAGTGGTGGGAACAGCCGCGGAGGCAGTGGCGGTTGGTGATGACGTCACCGGTGAGTCTGAGGTAGCTGCCGCCCGACCTCGACACCCCAGTCGCGCGCACTGTGGTAACTGCGGCGTGACACATGCCTCTGGTAAAAGTAACTGCCCTGCAAGTGGGGCTACATGTCGCAATTGCTGTAAGGTTGGTCACTTCACATGTCGCAATTGCTGTAAGGTTGGTCACTTCAAAAGGTGTTGTAGGAGTAAGTCAGCCCTAAGTGCTCCTGTGGATGTGTCAGGCGCTGTTACAGTGGCAACAGCCCAGCTATCCCGCCACCCCAGGTTACAAGTGTTCGTGTCCCAGGCCGGGGGCAATTCCCCCGCCACCCCTGTGCTGGCTGTAGCTGACACGGGTGCTATGGTGTGTGTGGCAGGCACAGCCCTGCTCCAGGACATCGGTTTGTGTCCGGGGCAACTTCGGGCCCGTAATGGCCTAAGGGACATGGCGAACAAACAGCTCAAGTGTCTGGGGTCCGCCCCCTGCCGCCTCGGTGTGGACGAGGGGTCCACCGTCCAGGAGGTCTACTTCGTGCAGACAGCCAAGGCCCTCTATCTGTCATTGGAGGCCTGCAAGTGCCTCAACTTGGTGCCTGTCGACTTCCCGCTCCATAGACGTGCTGTGGCTGCCGTGAGCGATGGAGGGGAGCGGCACACTGCCGACGATCTACCTCCGAACCGTTTACCTGAGAGCAGCCGTTTCCCGCCGAGGCCAGTTGAGATACCCTTGCCTCCTTTGGAGGAGAATGTGGCCAGGCTGGAGGCATGGCTACTCACGCACTTTTCTTCTACCGCATTCAACACCAGCAGGTCCCCACTGCCAATCATGACTGGTCCCCCTCACCGTATCCACCTGACGCCCGGCACGACCCCCTAAGCCTGTCACACACCCGCTCCCGTTCCGAAACACTGGGAAGCGGAGGTGAAGGCCCAGTTGGAGGAGGACGTCAGGAGAGGCGTCATCCAGCCAGTGCCTGCTGGTGAGGCTACAGAGTGGTGCGCCAGGATGGTCGTGCTGGCCAAGAAAAACGGTCAGCCCAGGCGCACTGTGGACTTCCAACGCCTCAATGCAAGCTGTCTGAGGGAGACGCACCACACACCCGCACCATTCGACATGGTGTCTGGGGTGCCAGTGCACTCATTCAAAACCGTCGCCGACGCCTTTTGGGGATTTCATCAAGTGGAGTTGGAGGAGGAGAGTAGACGCCTGACCACATTCATCACGCCGTGGGGACGTTTTCGATACTGCAGGACGCCCATGGGACATTGCTCAGCGTCAGATGCTTACACCAAGAGGTTTGACGACGCTATTGACCCGCAAGTACAAGTGCGTGGATGACACTCTCCTCTATGACTCCAGTGTGAAGGGGGCGTTCTGGCTCACTTACGATTTTCTGGAGACCTGCGCTCGCACAGGTATCACGCTGAAACCAGAAAAGTTCTTGTTCTGCAGGAGAGAAGCTGAGTTTGTGGGTTTCCTCCTGGGGTGGGACCTGTACCAGCCCACTGCCCAACGTCTGTCAGCCATCAAGGACTTCCCCATGCCGGATCAGCCATCAATCACTGACATCAGGTCCTGGCATGGCCTGGTTAATCAGTTGGCTCCCTTCCTTGCCACTGCACCTGTGATGGAGCCCTTCCGTGAGCTCCTCAAGAAGCCAGTGGGCAAGCAGGTGTATTGGGACGACCAGCTGCGGCTCAAGTTTCGCCAGGCCCAGGACACCATCTGTCAGTTGGCCAGAGACGGCTTGGTGTACTACGACAAATCCAGGCCTACGGCAGCTGTCACTGATTGGAGCAGGGAGGGCATCGGCTTCGTCGTCCTGCAACAATACTGTGCCTGTGCCTCTCCAGAGACGCCCTTCTGCTGCAGAGGAGGGTGGCGGTTGGCTCTGTGTGGTAGCCGACATCTGAGCACGGCCGAGGCCGGTTATGCTGCAGTAGAAGGGGAGGCCCTGGCTGTGGTGTGGTGCCTGCGCAAGGCCAGGCTGTTCCTCCTTGGCTGCCCGAACCTCATTCTGGTGACGGACCACCGCCCCTTAGTTGGCTTGCTAGGGGACAGAGCCCTCACGGATGTGGCGAATCCGCGCCTGTTCAGGCTCAAGGAGAAGACCCTGCAGTACCGATTCACGGTCAAATACTTGCCAGGGAAGCGGAACTGTGCAGCTGACGCCCTATCCCGCTTCCCCTCCCTCAGGGCGGCGCCTGATGCGGAGGACGTGGACCAAGAGGAGGACCTGTGCGCTGCAGTGTGTGCAGTCACAATCGCAGCACTGGATCAGGATGGGTGCATCACTATGGACGAAGACACAGTATGCAAAGCGGCTGCGGACGACCCAGTGTACCAGATTCTAGTGTCGAGGGTGCTGGCGGGCGACTAGCACCCCCACAAGTCACAGGAGGTGGCCTGTCTGCGCCCGTACTTCTCGGTGAGGGACAGGTTGGCTGTGGTCAGGGGTTTGGTCACCTACACCTTTGACCAGGGCTGCGTGCGCCTTGTCATCCCCGACACCCTCCGCCACCGGGTCGCCGTTAACCTGCATGTGGGGCACCAGGGCCTCGACTCAATGCTCAGGCGGGCCCGGCAGTCTGTCTATTGGCCTGGCATGGAGGGTGACCTGCAGTATCATCGGTCCCGGTGTGCTGCTTGCGAGACCCACGCCCCTTCCCAGCCTCCGGAGTCGTTGGTTCTGACCCCAGCGCCAGACTATCCCTTTCAACAAGTGGTGACCGATTTGTTCCACCTGCAGGGCCGCACGTACCTAGCATATGCTGACCGACTGACAGGTTGGCTGGAGATCGCCCACTTCCCCAACGAGGCCACCTCTGGAAAAATCATCGCCAGTCTGCGGGCCTACTTCACGAGGTGGGGGGTACCTGAGCAGATCTCCACGGATGGAGGTACCAACCTTGCCAGCCTTGAGATGACAGATTACCTCAAGTCATGGGGGGTCGAGGTGCGCCTCTCGTCGGCCCACTTCCCCCAGTCCAATGGCAGGGCAGAGGCTGGGGTCAAGGCTGCCAAGAGGCTCCTCTGGGATAACACTGGGCCCGGGGGTAGCCTGGACTGCGATAGGACACCCCAGGCCCTCCTCCAGTACCTGAACACGCCTCTGCGGGGGGTGAACAAGTCGCCCGCCCAACTTGCCACCGGCCGCCAGCTCCGTGACGGCGTTCCCGTGGCCAGACAGCACTATAAGGTGGACCAGCACTGGCGGCGGGCACTTCGTATGAGGGAGGTGCGCTTGGCCGAAACACAGGATGGGGTCCTGTCGCGGAGGGAGGTATCCCGCCAGCTGGCTCCCCTAGTCGTGGGCACGCAGGTGCGTGTGCAGGACGCAGCTACCAAGCTCTGGGACAGGACAGGCATAGTGGTGGAAGCCCGCCCTCACAGGCAGTATGCCGTCAGGTTGAGTGGCAGTGGCAGGGTGTCCATCCGCAACAGACGCCACCTGCGAAACGGCTCCACACCTGTGCCTACTACTCCGGTGGTGCACCAAGCTGTGCCTCCTGGCCCCCCTTCTGCTGTACCCTCCACACCCGCGCCCTCCTCCGCACCCACGGCTCCTCCCCAGTCGAGCGCGGCCAGGCCCAGGAGAGGCCGTAGGCCTCCTGGCTGGTTAACGGACTACGTGGTGTAGTGTATGTGATGTAAAATCAGTTTAGAGGGTTTTTTTTCTGTTTTTTTCCTT